GACACCGTGTATTTATTTGTGAATCCTTATATGTGCGGTGGCATGTCCTATGGGCGTGTCTCTCCCTCTTCCCTCTCTCTCTGTCTCTCTCTGTGTGTGTGCACGCGCGCGCGCGCGTGTGTGTGTGATTTCGATTTTGCTTGAGAGGGAGTGATCTTCGCATCTCCAGGTCCACATTCCCGTAGTGGTTCTGTTGGACCAAGTGCCTGGGATTTCGTATGGATGTCCTTGAGGCTGTTTCTCCCTGTTTCTTTGTGGAGCTGTGTCATCGTGAGGAGAGGAGCCATGATGTCTCTGCTGCATTGTGTCTTTAAGGATGGTGCATGGCCTTGCACCTGGGTGGCTTGGCGAGTGTAACTGCAGGAGCAGCTGCGGATGTGAATGTGTGCAGGTCCTTGCATGTGGCTGTGGCAGTGTTGGGTTGCATTTGTGACATCTCCAGGTCTGTCAGTCTTCATGAGTGTGTGTGAGGCTGTGATTGCTGGTGAGTGTGATACCCCAGGGTGACTGAGGAGTGGGGGGCGCCAAGCAAGGGCACTTGCAGAGGCATCCTCCTCTGGTTCTTCAATACTGTCTGTATCAAAGATGGGAATTTACAAAAACAGTTACCTTATATCCGTGTAAGAATGTGTTTAATTTAAATGTACAGTGTAAATGATGACAAAATAACTGCCCCGTGTACAATCACTAAGCTGAATAAATAGAGCCTGACCAAGAGTTAGAAGCCCCTGTGTGCCCTTCCCCATGGCAGCCCCTACACCCCCATAGTCCTTATTCTGTATCTTCTGTCCATTAATCCCTTACTTTTGTTTGTAGCTTATCACATATGTGTAGCTCTCAAAACAATCCATTGTTTAGTTTTTCCTGCTTTTGAACATCAAAATGGAATCATACTGGGTGACTGGTTCCTTGCAGTCACTAGGGGTCACTAGGAAGTCCTCAGGGTGTCTGGTAGTCTCAGGAAGTCTGCAGTGAAATTCGGGAACTTGCATTTCTTTTTTCTTTTTGGCTCTACTTTGGTCCTGAGATTCATCCCAGTCTATGTATGTGGCTATAATTCATTTATTTTTATTGCTGCATGATATATCCTATGAGGACGTCATGATTTATGATTTATATATGCATTCTCAGTTTGTCAGTGGACATTGGGTTGTTTCCAGGCTTTTCTCCTCCCCCACTTAAGCTATTATGAACAGTGCTGTCATCATCTTTCACGAACTTGTGACCAGTAGTATATGTGCCAAAACTACTCTGGGGCGTAACATCCCAGGAGTGGGTCATAAGATGTACGCATCTTTTTAGATGTTAAGCCGCTCTTCAAAGTACTTTGCCAGTTTAATTCTCACCAGCATAGTATGAGAGTTCCCATTTTTCTGCATTCATATCAATTATATTATCATACTTTTTGACTTGGGTCAATCTTTTGATGATATTATGCATAGTATCTCACTGGCATTTTAATTTACTTTTCCGTGATTACTAATGAGGTTTTTAATTTAATTTTCTGTTTCATAGAGACAGGGTCTTCCTCTGTCATGCAGGCTGGAGTGTAGTGGTGTGATCTGAGCTCACTGTGACCTTGAGTTCCTGGAGTCAGGGGATCCTCCCACCTCATCTTCCCAATTAGCTGGGACTATGGGCGTGTGCCCAGCTGATTTTTTTGTTTTGTTTTGTTTTTTGTAGAGATAGGTCTTGCTATGTTGACTAGGCTGGTCTTTAACTCTTGGACCCAAGTGATCTTCCTGCCTTGGCCTCCCAAAGTGCTGGGATGACAGGCATGAACCACTACACCTGGCACAATTTTTCATATGTTTAGTAATCATTTTTGTGAAATAGGTGATCATGAATTTTTTCTAATTCAGTATGAGTTTGCTTTTCTCTTACTACTTTTTAGGAATTCTCTGTATCTTCTGTGTACTACTCTTTTATTGACTATTTGTGTTGCAGGCATCACTCCTTTTAAACATATTTCTTTCTTTTTTTTTTTCTGAGACGGAGTTTCGCTCCTGTTACCCAGGCTGGAGTACAATGGTGCGATCTCGGCTCACGGCAACCTCCCCCTCCTGGGTTCAGGCAATTCTCCTGCCTCAGCCTCCTGAGTAGCTGGGATTACAGGCACGCACCACCATGCCCAGCTAATTTTTTGTATTTTTAGTAGAGACGGGGTTTCAGCATGTTGACCAGGATGGTCTCGATCTCTTGACCTCGTGATCCACCCGCCTCGACCTCCCAAAGTGCTGGGATTACAGGCGTGAGCCACCGCGCCCGGCCTCCTTTTAAACACATTTCTATGTGGCCTGTATGTTTCTTTTCCAAACCTTCATGGTCATTTCTTTTTCTTTTTCTTTTTTTTGCATGCACTTAGGGCATTTTTATCTTTCATTCCTTGCTCAGATTATTGGTACCCTCTTTTAGTTCTTTAAACTTGTGGAAATGGTTTCAAAACTGCTTGAACTGAAAATTTGTCATTGGATAATTTATTCTACAGATGAACTTGTATACATGCAAAATGATATATGAATAAGTTTATTCATATAGTTCCTATAGTCCACAATATTAATATGGAAAAATCTGTAACTGTCATATCTACCATCACCACTTCTATGAAGAAACCCGGTCTCCAGGAATGAGGATGGGGAGGGAGGAATTATGAGCATCACCAAGGGATCACTGGTGCGCTGTGGTGTGAGGGTGGGGTGGTGTCTGGGGGTCTTTGGTGATCTTAGGTGTGGCTGGAGATATTTGGGGGTTTCCAGTGGCTTTAGGCGTGTCTGCTTTTGGTGGCATCTGGGATGTTTGAGGTCCACGGAGATTCCCGGGCTGGGAGTCCCTGGCTCGACCGACGCTGACAACCTCTTTTCCCCCACCTCATTTTCCCCGCAGGAGCCCCGCGGCCTAAGCGCAGCGTCTCCACCCCTAGCTGAGACTGGCGCTCCCCGCCGCTTCCGGCGGTCAGTGCCCCGAGGCGAGGCGGCGGGGGCCGTGCAGGAACTGGCGAGGGCGCTGGCGCATCTGCTGGAGGCCGAACGGCAAGAGCGGGCGCGGGCCGAGGCGCAGGAGGCTGAGGATCAGCAGGCGCGCGTCCTGGCGCAGATGCTGCGCGTCTGGGGCGCCCCCCGCAACTCTGACCCGACTCTGGGCCTGGACGACGACCCCGACGCGCCGGCAGCGCAGCTCGCACGCGCCCTGCTCCGCGCCCGCCTTGACCCTGCGGCCCTCGCAGCCCAGCTTGTCCCGGCGCCTGTCCCCGCCGCGGCGCTCCGATCCCGGCCCCCGGTCTACGACGACGGCCCCGCGGGCCCGGATGCCGAGGACGCCGGCGACGAGACACCCGACGTGGACCCTGAGCTGCTGAGGTGCCCGGCAGGGGTTGGGGAGGGATCGGGCGCCTGCGTCCGAGGAGGTCTAGGGCGAGGAACTGGGACGCCTGCATCCCTCGTGGAGTGCGAACCCCTAAGTCCTGGGGCCCTAGGAGAGAGGTCCTGGCTCCATGGAATAGGGGCAAGGATGCCTGGCCCCGGGGGAGGGGATGGGGAACGCCTCACAGCGGACACAGCCTCACTGCATTGCGCTGCGTCCTGCAGGTACTTGCTGGGACGGATTCTTGCAGGTAGCGCGGACTCCGAGGGGGTGGCAGCGCCGCGCCGCTTCCGCCGCGCTGCCGACCAGGATGTGGGCTCCGAGGTGCCCCCTGAGGGCGTTCTGGGGGCACTGCTGCGCGTGAAACGCCTGGAGACCCCGGCGCCCCAGATGCCTGCACGCCGCCTCTTGCCACCCTGAGCACAGCCCGGATCCCGTCCACCGTGGGACCCAGGAGTGCCCCCGCCATCCCACCACCCGCACTGCTCCCCACCAGCACGTTCAGAGCAACTTTCCCCGGCCAGCCAGCCTTCCCACCCGGAAATCCCTACCCCCGGCCCCACAATAAACATGATCTGAAGCAGCTCTGTGCTTGTCTGTGTTTGTGGCAGTTTCTAGGGGCCGGTGATGCCCGCTGTCGTGGTGGCCCTTTGACTAAGGGAGAGGAGCCCCTATCCTGGGTCCTGCACTTTAGAACCATCACTTGCTCAGTCTATGACTCTCCTAGGGGTGGAGGGGAAGGCATCCACATGGACAATGGCAGTGCCCACGCAGATCTTGTGTCCCCCTTTTAGACCTCACTTGGGTATGGGGATCCCAGGCTTAGAGGCCACTTTCAGGGCCTGCACCATCATCTTCCAAGGGTCCATCTTCCTGAGGGCCAAGGGGTGGCTTTGTGAGTCACATGAGTAGAGCTTGAGGTGCTGGCTGAGACGTTGCAGGCACACATGAGCACCTCCTGATGTGGGTGAGAGAAAGGGAGGGGGCTGAGCACGGGGGCGGGGGGGGGGGCGGTCAGGAGGTCCCCATACAGGCACACTCTGGCAGACAGGCACATTCTGGCTGGGAACTGAGAAGGCTGAGAAATTGGAGCCTGAGCATCCAGGTCACTAATGGTGTATTTGCCAAAGTAGGGGGATAGGGTGTATTTCATTTACTTTGTAAAACTTGATTAGTAATGTCTAAATGTTCACATATTTAGTTATATAGTATAGAGGCCTACCTGTACTCTTGCACCAGGCCCTGGAGATACTGAGGGTTGCCATGGTGGCAGCTAATTTATGGCCACGGGCTTTGCACTGGCCAGTCCCTCTGCCCCTGGATATCTCCAAGTTTTTGTCCAGATGTCATCTACTCTCAAGAAGGCTTTCCTTGACCTGTCAGCCTATTCCTTCACCTGCCTTTAATACGTAGCCTGTATCACTGTCTAGCATCATGTCATATCTATAAGGTCAGGTTTTTAAGTGTCTTGTTTGCCTCTACCTCCTTTGTATCCAAAGCGGAGCCTGTCACACAGTGGGCTCCCCCTGAATTTCTTGAATGAAAGAATTCTCACAACTCAAGTAACATTCTACCCAGTCTCACTCCCACCCACGTAACACTTGGAACAGAGGCAGCTTTGAAAGCCAAAACACCATTTATTTAATTTTGCACAAAATCTCTCAACTTCACATAACAAAAGCAACACTAGGTACTCCTGTGTTACCAAAAAGCCCCTCACCAAGTGAAAACAAGAGAGATGTCCATCTTTCCCTGGTATATGGAATGTGTCCCTCAAAGCTGGTTGCTTCAGAGGTCTCAAGTCAAGCAACAATCACCCTGGCCTGGGGAAGGTCTACATTTCTTGGCCAAGACCTTCAGGCCACAGAGCAGCCACAGTGGCAGGTGGCCTTCTGGCGCCGGGTCTTCTCCACACAGGAACTTGCCCTGGCTTCTTTTGCCATGGCTTCCTTGACTCTCTGGATCTCATGGACCAGCAGGGAAAAGGCCTCCTCCACACCTTGACGTGTTTTGGCTGAGGTCTCCACAAAGTGGGCACCCCAGCTGTGTGCGAGGGCTGCGGCAGCAGCATGAGCATCTCCAGCGGTGGTCACAAGGTCACACTTGTTGCCCACAAGGACAAGGGGCTGGGCAGGGTGAGGGCCCCAGGCAGCCCATATCTGCTGTAGCTGGATCAGAGACGAGGGGTCATCAAGAGCAAAGACGCCCAGCACACCATCACTGACAGCCAGGCACTGGTCACGCAGGGCCCTATGGATGGTCTGCCCTGCTGTGTCCAGCACGTTCAGAATGCAGTCCCCGCTGTCCAGGGCCAACTCCTTCCAGTAGGAATCCTGGATGGTGGGGTCGTGGTCCTCCACGAAGCACTGGTGGTTCAGCTGGATGGTCAGCGCACTCTTGCCCACACCACTCGCGCCCACCACCACTGCCTTGTATTCAGGCAGCTGCCTGCCAACATCCCTGCAGCGTGCCTGAGCCCAGTGGTTTTCCCCCTGGAAGGTAGGGCTCCATGTGGCCAGGCCCAGGTCGAAAGTGCCAGACTTTGTTGGCAGCTCCATGCCCCCAGCAGGCAGCTCAGGGTAGAGATGTGGGCAGCAGTTTCTGCAAGTGGGAAGAGAAGAAGCAAGACAATTGGGGAAACCTTAGGGGAGACCATTTCAGGGCAAGGAGACAGTGAGGTGTCATTATTTCAACATTTATTGAATGCCTATTGTGTGCTGATCACCTTCCAATTTGCATGCTATATATACATGATTTATGCTGTTTTCTCTTTCCCTCCACCCCACCTTCCCCTGTCTCTTCTTCCCTCCTCACTCAAAGCAGACAATTGTGAAGGCTGGATTTCTCAAACAGCTTTATTGAGATGTAGTTTACATCCCATCAAGTTCAGCCAGCTAAAATGTCCAACTGAACGGGTTTTAGCACATTCACTAAGTTGTGCAACTATCACCATAACTACATTTTAGAACGTTTTCCTCACCCCAAGGAGAATCCCCATGCCCATTAACAGTTCCTCCCCATGGCGGAGAGAGGGCAGGATTTTGCCGGTTTTGGTCACCTGTGAATCCCAGCCCAGCACAGTGCCTGCCAGACAGTAGGGACTCAACATTGCCACCCCTTGAAGGTTTATGTTCTAAAAGGCAGAGGCAGATAATACAATAAACCAAATAAATATGTAAATCATGTGGTCTGTTAGCCATTATCATTAGAATGTAGTCTTTATTTATTTAATTATTCAACATATATTTATTGGGAACCTACTATGTGGCAAGGACACGGAAGTGGGCAATAAACAACAAACTGTAGCCCCCATGAAGGTTATATTCTGGTCGGGGTGTAAGATAACAAACTAGATAAAAAAGTGGGCCAGGCACAGTGGCTCACCCCTGTAATCCCAGCACTTTGGTAGGCCGATCGCCTGAGATCAGGAGTTTGAGACCAGCCTGCCCAACATGGCAGAACCCCATCTCTACTAAAAATACAAAAATTGGCCGGATGTGGTGGTGGGCACCTGTAATCCCAGAAACTCAGGAGGCTGAGGCAGGAGAGACGCTTGAACCCAGGAGGCAGACGTTTCAGTGAGTTGAGATCGCGTCACTTCACTCCAGCCTGGGTGACAAGAGTGAAACTCCGTCTCAAAAACAGAAAAGAAAGAAAAAAAAAGTGAACTATATGTTAGTAGTGAGTGATAAGCATGCAGAAGGTGCTCAGTTGATGCCAGGCTTTTAAATTATACTTTTTTTTTTTGAGACGGAGTTCCACTCTTGTTACCCAGGCTGGAGTGCAATGGCGCGCTCAGCTTACTGCAACCTCCACCTCCTGGGTTCAAGCAATTCTCCTGCCTCAGCCTCCCGAGTAGCTGGGACAACAGGCGCGTGCCACCATGCTCAGCTAATTTTTGTATTTTTAGTAGAGACGGGGTTTCACCAGGTTGACCAGGATGGTCTAGAGACCTCAGGTAATCCACCTGCCTCAGCCTCCCAAAGTGCTGGGATTATAGGCGTGAGCCACTGCACCGGGCCCTTAAATTATAATTTAATCTTCATTCATTAATTCAAGAATCTTCTTTCGTGCCAGGCATTGTGCTATGGCAGTAAACAAAACAGACTCCAGACCCTGCCCTTGTGAGGATTACATTCTGGCAAAGAGAAAGAGACAATAACAAGGTAAGGAACAAGGAAGTTGCAGGTTTGAAGAGGATGGGCACACAGCTGGTGGTCAATTAGTGCTAGTTATTAGTAGCACATCCCCATTCACTCAGTGAATGCACCTCGGTGTCCTAGGGCTCAGGAAGTGCTCCGCTTAGTGCACCCTAATGGCTGTTGCCACGTCTTCCCTCCGAAAGCCTAGAGCAGCGGCAGTTTCGGGGGCAGATGGTGGTTTCGAGGTTTGGTGGAGTTGGAGAGCCGGAGGTCCGTTGTGGGTAAGGACCCAAATAGGGATGAGGCTGAGGCGTCCTCAAGCTCTAAAGTATCCCTGGGAATGGTCACTGGCGGCGCTGGCCCAGAAGGAGGGGTGGGGACGGGATGAGGAGAGCAGGAAGCGGAGGACGGAGCTTTGGGGATCTCCGACGGTTGGGGACAGGAAGAAGACCTGGAGGACGGGGGAGGGGCGAGGCGGCAGCGCACATGGAGGTAGAGTTAGGCTTCTGGGGGTCCTGTAGGAGTGTCGGCCATCTTTTTTTTTTTTTGAGACGGAGTCTCGCTCGCTCTGTCACCCAGGCTGGAGTGCAGTGGCGCGATCTCGGCTCACAGCAACCTCTGCCTCCCGGGTTCACGCGATTCTCCTGCCTCAGCCTCCCGAGTAGCTGGGATTACAGGCGTGCACCACCATGCCTGGATAATTTTTGTATTTTTAATAGAGATGGGGCTTTACCATGTTGGTCAGGCTGGTGATCCACCTGCCTCGGCCTTCCAAAGTGCTGGGATTACAGGCGTGAGCCACCGCGCCTGGCCATATTTAGGGATGGGTCAGGAGGCAGAGGCGGATTTGAGGCTGCCTCCTAAATCGGGGTCCAAGCGGCTGGAGTCTGGGGTTACCAACGGTGAGGAAGGGGAACCCGGGACCGGACCAAGCGGCCAAGCACAGCTTCCACCCCAGGTTCCCGGCGGGTCGGGGCCACACTCGCCCAGTCCCCGCGACGCGTCGGGAGACCACGGCCCTGGTCCCCAAAGCCCGGCTCTCGGGGAGGAGCCGCGAGGCGCAGAGGTGCGTGCCGAGGGGACCGGCCGGGGGTCCTGGCTCCTCTCGGTCATTTTAAGTGGTGTGGAGCCTCTGGCAGGTCCCGGTGGCCACGTGCTCGGAGCCGCTGGGACCAGGTTATGGGGGTTTGCCCAGCTCACCCAGGCCGGCGCGCTGAGGGGTCGGGACCCGGGGTTAGGTTGGCCTCACCAAGTCGCGCTTTCCCGGATGAGGCCGGGTGAGGTGCAAAACTCAGAGTGCAGAGGGTTCCCTGAAACCAGGACTCCACTTCGGGCTCGGTGTGAGCAGCGTAGCCTAGGCGTCCCGTCGAGACCCATCCCGACTGCGGGTGAGGCGGCCCGGCTTCCAGCCCAGCGCCGACATGCCTGAGGAGCCGCTCGCCTGAAGGCTTGGCGCTTGGGGGAGTGTCCCTCAAAGCCGGCGTGGGGAAGACTCCCAGACCTGGCGGGGGCCGGGGCACGGGCGCCTCGCTCACCTGTGTCCGTGAGGATGGTGCGCTGGGACGCTCTGACAGGCCTGGCGGGGGGCGATGCTGCTCTCCGGGGGCCCACAGGCAGCGGGTGGGGGAGTGGCTTTGTGCAGTGGCCCTCCCTCGGCTCCTCAGGCCGGCCCCCCCCCACCCCCGCAACGCGGTGACCCTGCCCCCTGGGGGAGCACGGGGTCGTGCCCCAAAGGTGGCTTGCGTGCAGACATGTGGGTGCCACAGCGGCCTCTAGGGGTGTGCAGACGGCAGCCAGACCTCCCTGTGTCCCTGCAGCGCCTCCTGTGGTGTGTGTGTGTGTGTGTGTAGGGAGGTGGGGGTGGGGGTGATTTTGACCAGGATGGCAAAGCTCTTGAGGCTGTGCTGCCTCAGCTGTTTTTTGGTAGGTTGGGAGAAAAGAGGACACTGACAGAGAGGAAGGGTCATTCTGTCAGGGAAGAGAGCCCCTGACTGGAGGCTGCTGCCTGTCAAGCTACACATTTCCCAGGCTCCCTTGCAGCTATGGCAACCTCATGCACAGTCCTGACTAATGAGAGGGCAGTAGAGGTTGTGGGTGGGCCATCTAGAGGGCTCTTAATACAGGGCAGCCCCAGCCCTTTCCCATTCCTCCTCTTCTTAACTGGGTGGGGCTGTGGTGTCAACTTGGGATCATAAGGTGGCCATGAAGAAAAGTCCTGGAAACCTCAGCCTCCATTCTCTTGAGCTGCCAAAGTAATTCTCACCACATGGGAGAAATCCAACTCCCAGACTGTCCTTCAATTTCCCACCTCTGGTCAATGGCAGGCACCCCTTCTGCCAAGAAGCTACCATGACCACCACATTCAAGTTAAACCTGGACCTCCCCCCATCCCCAGTCAGGCAAATGACACAAATGGGAAAACAGGCCTGGTGAGGATACTTCCTATTAGTTTTCTTGCCTTCTCAGCCTAGGCTGTGGGTGTGGCTGGGACTGGCTGTAAGTCCCTATTTCTAAGGCAAGCACCCATTTTCTCATGGATTCTACCATTTCATCGCAGGTGGAGCCAGTCAAGATGGCTGCTCTATTTTCAGTTAGTTTTTTGGGGGAAATGGCTGGGCAGGGGATTGACCTAATGGAGACCCACTCCCTCATATCTTCATTACTCATGGGCTCTGCTGGCTAGGGATATAGGGTTCTCCACCTGTTCAAAGTCAAAAGGCTTTCTTCGGGTTTTGTAACAGCTTGTACTTTATTATATATGCAACCTTGCCATGCCTGTCAGTTAACTCCCCTCCCGCCAATGTTATCCTCGTGATATCAGCTCCCTCTTGGAGCTAGAGCTGTCCCCCTTTCCTTCTGGGCTGGAGTAGTATTGCCCCTCAAGCAGGCAATGGGCAGGGGGAGATCCACAATTAATCATCGCAGTTCTCTTAAACGTATTAACACTTAAATAAGCACTCTTGGGGAGATGCAAAGGATATTCAAGATGGGATGCAGTGGGAGGCTACCCCTCATCCAAGGTACAGGCTGGAATGAGCTACAGCTGGTCTATCGTGGGCCTCAGAAGGTGAAGAGGGAGCGTATTCTGGGGCTTAGGATGGGTGGGGAATATCCTCCCCAAACTTGTTCTGGTGGGCGATGTTCTTCACATCTAGGAGAGCCTGAGGAGACAAAAATTGGGAAGGTGAGAGAGAGTAAGGACCCCTCTACCTCAGCTGCCCCGACTCCAGCCCTCAACCACTCTGTCTTCTGGACTATCCCACAGCCCCCGCCCCACGCAAAATAATCACACGAGGCAGCCATGCAGAGGGGTCTGTGGTCTCCCTTTACACAATCACAGAAGGGGTGTGTGTGAGTGGGGTGAGTGTGCACGTGTTAAAGGGTCTACCCAGAGCCCACCTGGTGGTGGACATAGGCCTGGCAGTAGTAACACCAGGTCGACAGGTCAACGTAGCTGAGGACCAGCGGGTGTCCAGAATTTCCATGGTGTCGGAGCATGTGGGCATTGATATAACGACCACAGTAGACCTGAGGTTGGGGGTGTATCAGGTGGGGGTCAGCACCCCCCTGCAGTTTGCTCCCAGGCCAACCTCTGCCCCATCCCCTTCCTCTGCTCCATACCTGATAGCAAGAGAGACACACCCAATTCTCTTGGATTGTTCCACAGTCCCCACAAGGTTGGGTCACATCCAGGCCTGCTGCAGGTATGGGGCATACTGCCACCAAATGGGGACACCAGGGCAGTGGTGTCACAGCATAAAATATGGCCTGGAGTGGGTGGGCAAAACTGAGTGAGCTGAGGACCCCATCTCCCCATTATATGTTTATACATCACATGCTCCTACCTGGAGACACAAATGGGCAAGAGAAGAAAGCCACAGTTCCAGCCTCTCCCTGAGCTCACCTGATCAGTGAGGCCCTTAGATTCTTGCATCAGCATCGAATCAGCCATGTCCTGACCTCCAGCTGCCTCTCCTAGTAGGTTCTCCTCTCCTGGGGCTTGAGATTCTAGGGCCCCCTGGACATGCAGAAGAGATGTATCACAGAAGTCAGATTCTTGCCCCTTCTTGCCCCTACCTGGGTGTGGTGGGCCTTACCTGAGATTCGCTGCCTAGCTCCAAGGTCCTGAGACTCCCAATCAATGTACTGGGAGATATCTGGGGTGTAGTTCCCCGCACAGGTGAGGTTGGGGGGGTCTGGTGGTCTGTGCTCAAGGTTAGAGGAGTTTGGATCAGCTCGGTGCCCCCTAGAGCTTCCTCTGACGTAGTCTGGTCCAGTGTGGCTCCCTCCATGGCTGCCTCTGAGGTGGTCTGGGCCAGTGAGGCTCCTACAGCCTCTGAGGTAGTCTGGCCTAGAGTGGCTCCCCTAACAGCATCCTCTGAGGTGGTCTGGTCCAGAGTGGCTCCTCCCACAGTTTCCTCTGAGGTGGTCTGGTCCTGAGTGGCTCCCCCGACAGCCTCCTCTGAGATGGTCTGGCCCAGCATGGCTCCCCCAGTGGCTGCCTTGGAGACGGTCTGGGCCAGTGTGGCTCCCCCCGTGGCTGCCTTTGAGGACTGGTCCTGAGTGACTGCCACCACAGCTGTCTCTGACTTAACCTGGTCTGGAGTGGACTCTTCCCCAGACACCGAGATGACCTTCCCCATGCTTGCTTCCAGAACCTTCTTTTCTCGTGTGATCATCCGCTCAGCTAACATAGGTTTGGCTGGTTGGGGTGCCTTCTTGGTGATCAGCTTCGAACTGGAGGGTCCTTCTTTGTCTTCTACCTCTGGAACCAGGGAGGAGATCCTTGAGTGTGGGTGCTGTCCCCCTTCCTGCCTCTAATCCCTGCTCCCCAGCCCCCTCCTTCCGTGAGTTCCCCCCATAGTCCCCAATTCCACTCACTCATGACCCGTAAGCTGCGCCAGTATCTGCGATGGACTTGGATGGTCTCAGTGATTGAGGCCAGGGCCCCTGAGAGTGGGGGCCGTGGCAGGGTCAGCAGGGGTGGCGGGTCTCCAAGGAGGGAGCGAGTACAGGCAGCCATGGACTCTGAGATGGATGTCAGGTTATAGCCACCCTTTGTTAAGGAAAAGGGAAGGGAAAGGCATGGTAGGGGTTCATCGGGGAATCTGGAAAGCAACATGTCTTGCCTCCCCAATCCTCCCAACTGAGCCCTGCAAGTCTGGAGAGGGACGGGGGAGTATTGGGAACAAGTGAGCAGAACCCACACCTGTAAGATGGGCGGCACCCATTGTGTAAAGTGGTTGTTGTGGGGAGTAAATTGCGATGTAAAGTGCAAGATAACAATACTGATAAAACCATTAGTAATAGCTGACATTATTTATTAAGTGTTTGCTCTGTGCCAGACCCAGTTTTAAGTACTTCATGCATATTAACTCAATCCTCATAACCACAGGTGCTCAGTCTATACCAGAACTTGCCTTCATGCCATACAGAAATCCGTCTTGACACTGTCCAGGAACCCCTGGCCTCACATCATACAGTAATCACTGATCTGACCTGCATGAGACGCCTGCTGTGAACCCATACAAAAGCCCCTGCCCTGATCTAGTACAGGAACAACGGACTCTCTCTCCATATGGACTCCTGTTCTGACTTTCTTTACACTCTACAGGAATCCCAGTTGCTATTCTTTTTACAGACAAACTGAGGCAAAAGGCTGGGCGCAGTGGCTTACGCCTGTAATCCCAGCACTTTGGGAGGCTGAGGAGGGCAGATTGCCTAAGGTCAGGAGTTCGAGACCAGCCTGGCCAACATGGTGAAACCCTGTCTCTACTGAAAATACAAAAAACTTAGCCGGGCGTGGTGGTGTGCACCTGTAATCCCAGCTACTCCGGAGGCTGAGGCAGGGGAGTTGCTTGAACCAGGGAGGTGGAGGTTGCAGTGAGCTGACATTGCACTACTGCACTGCAGCCTGGGTGACAGAGCGAGACTCCATCTCAAAAAAATAAATAAATAAATAAAACTGAGGCTCGGAGTGGTTAGATGACTTTTCTGAGGTCCTAACAGCTGTAGAGGCAGCACTGGGATTTGAACTTTGGCTCTCTGATGGAGTCATCTGTGTTTTTAACTCCCACCATGCCCTGTCACAAACAGTACTGGGCACATGGTAAGTGGGACTTTTTGCAAGCCACTTAATTTCTCTGTGATTTATTTTCCTCATCTGTAAAGTAGTGAAAATAACAGCACAGAAGGTTGCTGAGCGGGTTAGTATCTGAACAATGCATAACAGTAACCAGGGGCTAGGTGTGGTGGCTCACACTTGTAATTCTAGCACTCCGTGAGGCTGAGGTGGGTGGATTTCTTGAGGCCAGGAGCTCAAGACCAGACTGGCCAACATGGTGAAACCCCATCTCTACTAAAAATACAAAAATCAGCCAGGCGTGGTGATGGGTATCTGTAATCCCAGCTACTCAGGAGGCTGAGGTGGGAGGATCATTTGAACCTGGAAGGTGGAGGCTGCAGTAAGTTCAGATTGCGCCATTGCACTCCAGCCTGGGTGACAGAGCGAGACTCTGTCTCAATTAAAAAAAAAAAAACAGATCTACCAGATCCAGCATTTACTATATGCCAGGCACTCCTCCATGATTAGCCAGCCTCATAAAGATGAGGAAACTGAGGCACAGGGCATGGGGATACCGAGTCACTTACAAAGGTCAGTGAATTTTCTTTGTCCCAGGAACTTGTTAGAGTCAGTTCAGGTAACAGTAAAAAACACAAACCCTGGAGCCACGCTGCATCGGTTCAAGTCCTGGTTCTGCCATCAGTAAATGTGCCATCTCAGGCACATTTCTTTCAGTCATCTAGTCATCACGCCTCTTTGTGCCTCAGTTTCCCTGATCTTGAGAGGGGAAAAGCTAACCCTACCTCATAAGGCTGCTTTGCCAAGTAACTAAATGAATAAGATACATGAAGTGCTCAGAAGAGTGCTTTGCACACAGTGAGCACTCAAAGCTGTTAATGTTGCTGTTATTCTTATTATTATTACCCAATTACTACCCAGTGTGTGCCCACAATTCCAGGCAGGGACACTTAAAGGAGATTTTAGGAAACTATACTGAATGATAGTGCCAAGATTCCCAAACTACCCTCCCACTGTGGGAAAAGGTTACCAAGAGAGAGTTACCTCTAGGATAAGGATAATGCGGCCACTGGCAAGGCCCATCAGCAGGTGGGTGAGGTGGGCATAACCCTCAGGTGATATCTGGCAGCCCCCCAGCGGGTCCCCCCGTGCAGCGTCAAAGCCAGCTGAGACCAGCACCAGTTCTGGATTAAACTGAGGCAGGGAGAGAAGAGACGTATAAGCATGAGGGTAAGGGCTTTTGGTAGGCAGTAAGTGGTGGTGACAAGGAGACATGGATGGAGAAAAGGACAAATGAAGACATGGAGATGCAAATCAGAGAGATGGAGACACGGGGCCTGAAGACTGGGAGATGCAAAAGCAGAGACTGAAAATGAAGAGAGGAAGAAGAGAAATATAGACTCAGAGATAGAAGAAACAGATGCAGATCTAGAAACATGGAGACAGCAAAAATGGACAGATGGGGACATGAGACAGAGTCATGAGACCAGACTCAGATGTCAAGAGACTGACATGAGAAATGGAGAGACAGAGACATGTCCTCACACACACACCCCAGGGTCAAACGTGGGACACACATACACAAGATACAGGGTTTTATGTACATAGTGCCAAA